GTTTTGAATGCATAGGTGTTCTTTCTGTCCCAAAGTTGATTCAGAAAATTGAAATCTACATGCCCGCGTGTGTCATAGCTAAGATGCCATGGAACTTGTCTCTTGCTTTTCTTTCAAACGTAATTAATAGTTGTATTTGGCTTTGACTATCATCAATTAGGAAGAGAAAAAAATGCTTTTCCATTCTACAAACTGTACTTTTTAAATTTAAAACCAGTTTGCAAAGCATAGGTCTTGCTTACATTAATGAAGACTTTTTTTTTTTTTTTTTTTAAAAAGGCACCATTTTTTTTGCTAAATGGAAGATAATCCTACATTTTTAAGAAAAAACTTCATGGCTATGCATTTGCTAGTCATGGTAATTTCTTGAGCCTGCAAAGTAGGGTTTTTCCTTACCTTACTTGGGGCTAGAACTTGGTGTTCAGAAAAGCTATACAGAGGCAGCCCTGAGACTATCTGTATGCAGCACGATCATATCCTTGGATTTGGTCAAGTTCATTACTTCCTTCCTCCGAGTGTCTCAGTGGCACTTCCTCTACAGACTCGAAGCTGCCCCTTCCCAGCGATGCCACACTCGCTAGTCGTATTACACAACGGGGCCCTGGGGCGCCAAGATGACACAGGAAGAACCGCTTTAAAAAGTCAGGATTTGGGATTCTTGGTTACCTGGTCTGGGTTCTGATTTTCAAGGTGTTCCTGTGGCTTTGTATACTTCTCTGGTCAGACCATGATTCTCCAACACAGCGATCATCATAAATGCTCTTCTGTTTCCATTTACTCCGCAGAAGCCAAAAGGTGCCGCCGGTTTATGAGTTTATTCTGCCATGTGTCACCGCAGGCGGGTCAGCGGGCCGGCCGGATGGATGGGCAGCGCTAACCTCCCCATTTATTACTCTTGTCAACTCGGAAGGCTTTTTTTTTTTTCCTTACCTTGTGAAAGGCCCATCAGCAATGAATCAGTGAAGTGAAGACGACAGTTGATTTGTGAATTTAGATTCTATAAAGTGAGTCCGCTTTGGTGGGCTGTGTAGATAAAGCAGCCGTCACGATAAGGTGGCCAGGGCAATTCCACAAAACCAGATTTATTGCGCATTTGCGGAAATCATCCTATTTTAAAATGCCATAAATTCTAAATTGAATATTACTTATTCCCATGAATTTTGATTTATGTTTTGAATATTTTTAATGGCATGCTAAATAGCCTGGGCTAGAAGTTATGAGTTTATGCATTACTTTGAGCGGGCCATTGTGACTCTCCGCAGAATATATTGGCCATTCTTAGGATTTTATTTGTGTGCATGGCGGTGGGGGCGGGGAGTGGGGTCGGGCACCTGCTGAGGGCACCCCCGGGGGGGAATGATGTGCATGCCGGTTAGAAAGAAAGGGCTGCAGCCTCCCTGCCTTCCTGCAGAGCTCGGAGGAGTCTTTGCACCGGTTCAGACAAGGTTCAAACGGCAGTGGAAGGGAACAAGGAGCCCTGACTTCCATGAGACGCCCTCACAGTCCTGGGTAGCACTTACTGCCGCAGTAATTAACCATCTCAATGACGACTTATTTACAGCCTGTCTCTGCCACTGGCCATCTCCTTGTTCCCTGCTGTAGCTCCACAGAGCCTGGAAGCAGGACGCCCTCCAATAACGAAGACAAAAACAAAACAAAACCAGCAACCGCCCTCCATGTCCTAGAATGCTTTAAGCCACCCCCTTCTCCGGTTAAGTCAGTTTTCTCTTTAACTGATAATTAAAAAGAAAACTCTTTTAATTTCAATCCTGGCTGTTGAAGCACTGAAGAAAAGGGACACCCAGTTACCTTTTCCCAAGGAGAAAGATCAGGAAAGATTCTTCCAACCTTTAATCGCAAACTGACAGCTTCGCAGGGTCCCTACCCGGCAGAGCCTCCAGGGGCACTGCCCCCACGGGTGGTGGCAACGCAGCCCGGGTCGGAAGTTCAGGAAGTGCAGGGCAGATGTCGCCCCTGTTCCCATGTCCAGCCCTCAGCTAGCACCTGGCGCTGTGAGCTTGCAGCGGGTTCTGGAACTGTCGAGTGGTTTGTCCTGGTTTGTTCTGGAACTCTCAGGGTTTGTCCAGCACAGACTGGAGCCATGACGTCTTTAGTCCTAGAAGGAAGCAGCTGGTCTGGAGTCAAGAAAGATCCTTGCCCATTTGGAAAATGTAGGTTGCACGTGCAGATGAGCGCCCGGTAGAGCCGTGGAGGGCTCCGACTCTCTTTTGAATACCATGCTGTTCTGATCACTGGTGCTTCATTCACAGTGGAGTTGGCATGGTACTTGCTAGAAAGGGCTTAAAAATCTCTGTAATGAGAAACCTTATAATTTCCAAGACCTGAGCCCTCTTGAGCCCCCAAATAAACTGTGCTGCTGTTCTTTGTGTTTTTACTGTGTTTTCTCTTTCCGTGGGGCATAGATTAAAAGAGAAATACACAAATTGGCTTTTAAAAAATAAAAAGAAGTGAGGAGATTCTCTGTCCCGACCCTCTCTGACCACCAAGCCTACCAAGACGGAGTAGCTAAGTTTGGGTGATTAATGCACAAATGATGGGACTCCACGTGTGACTTGGCTGGCTGAGACCTTAGCGGGCTGTCTGCTGCCGACACACTTCTAAGCGGCCACTGCAGGTAGCCGGGGCTTCCTCACGACATGGTGGCTGGGTTCCAAAAGTGAGTGTCCGGAAAGAGGTGGGGACGGAGGTAAGGGACAGGAAGAAGTGGTCAGAGACAGACAGAGACAGAAAGCGGAGAGGGAAGGAGAGAGGGACAGAAAGGGAGAGAAGAATCGAGAGAGAGAGAGAGAGAGAGAGAGAGAGAGAGAGAGAGAGAGAGAGAGAGAGAGAGGGGAGAGAGAGAGAGGAGACAGAGAGGAGAGAGAGAGTGAGAGAGAGAGAGGAGAGAGAGAAAGAAGGGAGAGAGAGAAAAGAGAGAGAGGAGAGAGAGAGAAGAGAGAGAGGAAAGAGAGAGGAGAGAGTGAGAGAGAGAGTAAGAGAGAGGAGAGAGAGAGAGAGAGAGTGAGGAAAGAGGAGGAGAGTGAGAGGAGAGAGTGAGAGAGAGAGTGAGAGAGAGATGGAGAGAGAGAGAGGAGAGAGAGAGGAGAGAGAGAGGAGAGAGAGAGGAGAGAGAGGAGAGAGAGAGGAAAGAGAGAGCGAGAGAGCGAGCACTCTGGGCAGAAGCTGTATTTTCAGTAGGACGTAGCCCCCAAAGTCAGAAAATCCCTTCTGCCACATCCTATTTAGTAAAAGCGAGTCACTAAGTCTGGCCTGTATTCAAGGGAAGAGGGACTAGACTCCACGTTTTGAAGGGAGGAAGCTCAACATTTGTAGACCTTTTAAAACCGCCACCCAGGGTCACTGTGGGGAACAACCTTGCCCCTGGTGGCAGTGAGAGCTGCTTCCGGGCAGTGCCGAGACCCCCGAGACCCGTCAGCACCCTGGCGAGCAGCCGAGGACAGCGGGCTGGGCAAGCCGCCTGCCACAGGGTCGCGAACTCGGAGCATCTCCTGTGATGCGACTTTCTTGGCTCCAGGGGCTTTGGGGGAAAGTTCTCGAGCACATCTGAGGCTCCCTTGTGCACACCCAGTGCCGGTTATTAATAATTATTTCTGGAACATCGCTATGGGGGGGGGACCCCTTCTGCTCACAATACTCCGCCCCCTTTTTTGTGCTTGACAAGCTTTCTTCGCCCTTTAGGGCTCACACTTCCAACCCAAAATTATCCTCCTTAAAATATTCCAGGGTGCCCCCGAGTAGAGAATGTTTTCCCACAGTCTCTTATTTTTATGCCCATCACAGCACCGAAGGGTCTATCGTCTTGTCTTCTAGACAGTGGTCCTCCTGGGGCAGGATCCTGCCCTACCCCCAGCCTCAAACCCAACATCTGGAATGTGCTAGGTGTTTATTATATTCCATAAATGTTGGGTTAGAAAAGTGCTTAGGAAAGTGGGCAATTGATTTAGGCTAGCTTTCTCCAACATGGGGCATGTGCAAGCTTACCTTCATGAGATGCTATAAAAGATGGGTTTTGTGTCAAATATATTTGAAAGAAATCTGCCTTTTCTTGTTCCAGTCTTGGAGACCCACAATGCATGTTTTTGGGGGGTTTTCTTCCTTATTTTTTGTTTGTTTTGAGACATGGTCTCACTCTGTTGCCTGGGCTAGAGTGCTATAGCATCAGCCTAGCTCACTGCAACCTCAAACTCCTGGGCTCAAGCCATCCTCCTGCCTCAGCCTCCCAAGTAGCTGGGACTACTGGAGCGAGCCACCACACCCAGTTAATTTTTTTCTATTTTTAGTTACCTGACTAATTGTTCTCTATTTTTAGTAGAGACGGGGTCTCACTCTTGCTCAGTCTTGAACTCCTGAACTCAAGTAATCCTCCCACCTCAACCTCAACCAGAGTGCTAGGATTACAGGCGTGAGCCACCACGCCCGGCTCACAATGCATGTTAACACTGGAATGAAGCCAGTATGAGCTCTCGGGTCAAGAGTGATTTGATTTCTGGCCACACCCTTGTGCAAGTCACTAAATACACACGTCTTATTTTCTTTCACAATAAAAAAGCAATGACATTTTTATTCCCTACCTCATAGAGATGTTAATGTTGAAAGAATAAACTAAAAAACTTCATGACACGTACTTAGATGTGTTAGGGATTCGGTAACTATTGGGTAATAAGATTATCAGCAAAGGCACTGAGAAGTCCTGCAACAATGATCACAGTATTTTTCAGACTTATTTGACGGTGAAATTATTTTTTTTTTCACATCACACTTAATAATTTATACCCACATTTTGGGAAATATGGCTGAAGGAGACTTGATAGTACTGGTAATTATTCTCTGTCAATTAGATGATGCTTTAAATCTAGAAAAATTTATAGTTAACATAATTCTTGAGGAGTTGTTCAAAGCCTGAAGCTAGAATTAATGGTTAAAAATGAGTACCTGGCATTTTTTTTCATTGAAACATCTTTAACTGATGGCTCCTGTCCTTTAGTGAAATTCTTAACCTCGATGAAAGTATTTCAGATGTATTTGACTATATCTTTTCAGTAGGTGGCAACGTGAAAGGGGAAATACAAGCGTGATGGGTGATCTTGCTGAGCTTAGCAGGTACCTTCTATGATCCTTTTATATGTCTGGGAGGAGATGCAATGGCCCTCACAGTAAGCGCCGTCTGTTTTCAACAGGAAGCTGTAGCTTCTGTTTACAGACATTTTGCTCTCTGTTTACAGCTTGCCAGGCCGTTCATGGGTTTTCTTGGCTCTTCATGGAGACTGGAGGGTGTCGGTTTCTGAACGGCTGGGTAGGTCTGGGCCCAAGGTGGCTGGGAACAGAGGTGGCCCCATGACCCAGGTCTGGCCAATCCAACTCTCCCATTCCCCTACTTCGGACATACACACGGGACCCAAGCCAGGTCAGGGCTGGCCCCAGATTGAACTGGGGAAGAGGGCCCAGGTGGTGAGACCCAAGAGACCACCGGGCCTTTTGTCCAGGGAAACCCAGACATCAAAACTTACTAAAAACTCCCGTTTGATAAAAAGTGGGGAAAGAGAAAATTTGCAATAAAACACATGACAATCCCTCTCAGGAATGATAATACTATTACTGTAACGACTATCTTTTATTGAGCATTTACTATGTGCCGAGCTTCTGTGTTTCTCCGGTTTTCACACACACCTTTCCCATCCCAACGTTTCTGAAGTCCGCGACCCTCTTACGATTCTTCCCGCGGATCAGCGATGACAGCTCTGTCGTCGTTGCCTAAACCGTCGCGTCCGTCCTGCCTCTGTTTTTCATGAGTGCCGAGGGTGACTTGGGATTAAGACCTGTGTCTAAATAAATCTTAAAAAGATGTTTTCCACAAAAATTCCAAACGATAGCCCAAGGATGATATATAACTGACATCCATGTTTCAATAAATCTTAAAAAAAAAAACAAAAAAAAAACCTTTTTAACAAAAATCCCAAATGCTGAGAAAGCTTAGGGACATGGTTTGACCAGCAGTGTTTGTTCCTCTCTTGAAGGGACACGAAGCCACGTTGCATCCTGCAGTGACGGCATCTCGGTTTCTACGAAATGTGGGATTACCTTATTCAGTGCCGAGGTCAGTACTTCGTAAAATGTACAGTGGGAGGACACCACGGCTTGGGAAGTTAGCTGATTTCCCAGATCCGCCACCAAGCGCCGAGTACTGGCCCAGTGAGTGACAAAGCGCATACAACCTGGCCAGATCAGATCAGTTCGAGACCCAAATCGCGAACATTCTTCGCTATTTGGGCTACGAGTTCTAATTTGCAGCGATAGGCATACATCATCTTATTCCTTGATTGAAACAGACAAACAAAACGAAACACCAACTTTTCTGTCCTTTCGAGGATCCCAACCTCCCCCAGTGTGGCCGCCTTAGATAATGCCGTCACAGCTCGGTGGCATTAGGAAAAAGTCACTTGTAATCTGCAGGATTAGACGAAAGCCAGGTCCCCAGATCTGCTGTTTCTCTACCAGAAAATTGATACCAGGGACTTCCTGAGCCCCGAGAGCTTGTTTGCAACACCCAAGGACCCAGTTGCAATGACACGGCGACAACTAGGACACGGTTTCCTCCGGGAAAACGTCACTCGGCTTCCTTCAGCCGAATGTCCAAGTTGTTTCGGACGATTTTTTCTGCCCAATGCCCTCCCCGGCCAGTTTTTGTAAATTAGAACCATGCAACGCGGCTGCAGAGTTTGCTTTGGGGGCACGGATTCGATTCTGGAATAAACTGGACCGCGGGAAGAAGGGCGCTGGTGCAGAGCTGGCCTTCCTGGCGCGGGGCAGGCAGGTGCGGGCACGGGGCGCTTTTCTTCCCAGGCTGCTTTGGAAACGGCTTTCATGTGAATTTCAGACGCTTTATTGCCTTGACTCGGGTGACCTCATCTAGCAGAATGAAGTCATCCATCCGCCAGGGAAGACAAACCTTCGTTCCAGAGAATCAATCAGGCCCATCGAGGTCCCCCCTCGCCCCCTTATCTCCAGCCGGTGAGCGAGTGAGCAGCTAGACACCTGACAGGCCCCAGAGGGCCCCTGTGACTTCGCGTCCCACTAAATCAACAAGGGACCCGGGGCTCGGGGAAGCGCCAGCGCGCCACTGGGTAGGCACAGCTTGACATCATTTCTGACTTGGGGGATTGTTTCGTTGGGAATCAAGGTATTTCTTGAGAACAAAAACCGTGGCATCCCAGTGAACTTCGGGGCTTTCTCCTTCTTATTATTAAACTATTAACTCCTGCCAGATAGGAATGCCAGGCACATAATTGCCCGCCCGGCCTTTTCATCCCAAGCTACTGCACAACCCATAAACAGTCCAATTAGGAAACCAATTAAAATGAGAAAGAGGCTTCCCGGACGAGCCAGCAGTTGAGGCAGCACTGCCTTTTCGCTGTCAGCCGGTGAAGGGTTTTTATTACGTCTGCTGCAGAGGAGAGAGCACTGAGGGGGCGGTTCTGCAGGCCCGCGCCAGGCAGGGGGGCAGGCAGGGCTGATCTCCTCTCCCCCAGCCTTGGCCAGCTCTGAGATGCTTTGCGACACCACGAGGTGGGTGTTCTAGAAGGAAGAAGCTTTGGCTTGCTCGCTGGAACCGAGACAAAAATTACAAATACAAATTGAAAAACTGACCCCAGCAAGTTTATTCTTGGATTGTCGCGAAGGCTCTGGTGAATCTGCAGGTTTTCGGACAGTAGGATCTTTTCCTAGCAGTGGGTCGCTGGCCTTGCATTTTTGGAGGCTTCTCATGTGCACCCCTCCCGTCGTTGTGTCCCTCCATGTGGCTCTCAGTCGTTGTAGGATCCTCCTATGGTAGGAGGGAGCTGACCTTGGCCAAGGTCACATGCCCCTTCTTGCACCCGTTCAAGAGACTCTCGCTGTTGGCTGACTGTGTGCATTGAGACAAGCTGCGCCCAGGGATCTGCAAGGCAAACACCTCTGAAAGTTTCCCACCTTCACTGAACGTGCCTTTAGTTTAAACCTCTAGTTTTAACCTTAATTCCTGTGTGTGGTGCACCGTGGGTGCTCAGACAGGGGGATGGTGGAAGTGTCCCGACTCATAGGCCTCCGATCATCCTAAGTGACCATCAGCATTCCTGCAAGAGTCCCCGAGAGAGGGAGGGAGTGCCACTGATTCCTCTTCCTGAGATGCACGTGTGCATGTGTGTGTGTGTGTATGTGCATGTTTACGTGTGCACGTGCATGCATGCTTTGGGGGTGACATATAGTTCCTTAGTTGAGTGGTCTCCAGGGTATCATGTTCCCCCTGTGTTATTGTGGCCACTCAGAGGTCCACTGAGAGAGCCGACTTTGTTCTCTGCTACCTACAAAGTTAGAGCCAAGCAGATCGGGCTGGCTGTGAACTTCTAAAAACGCCACGTGGCTGCGCCCTCCAAAAGCCCCTCTGAACTCGGTGATGGCACGAACGACATTCTCCCTTCTCTCAGAGAGATTTTGCCATGTCTTCTTTCTTCCTCCCTGGAGTTTTACTCCTTGCAAGCTGGCGTGGAGCTCTCTGCCGTCTCAGCCCTGGGACCCTGGCACGCACAGGGCCTGGCCCGGGGTGAGTGTCACTGCACGTGGACAGGGGACTCGCTTTTATGAATGTCTCTGCCTTTCGCCACCGGAAAGAGTCGCTCTTTTGAACACAGAACCTTCCGGCCCACATTATTTAAATTTTAAGCTAGAACTGGAGGTGAGTTTCAGGACCAGGAGTGGAGTCTGTACATACAGCATTATTTTACAAGAATTTGGGTCCCATCCCATCACCTCTAGCTGAGTATCTTGGGCAAGTTGCTTAATCTTTTTAGCCTCATCTGTGAGACACAAATAATAATAGCCCTTGAGCCATGGGTTGTTGGAGGACTTAATGGGGTAATGTATATGCAACATGCTCAGATGAAGGCCTGGCCCGTGCCAGGTGCTGTCCCAAGTCAGTTGTCATTGCTGTGCTGTGCTCTTGTCTCAGCTGTGTGCTTTCTTTCGGTGAGACCAGACCCTGAGCGTGCAAGCCTGCGCTTGACCTTGTTTGGAATGCTGATACCAACACCAGTTGGACGGGACTTTGGGAGACTTCAGATGGCCCTTGTGTGTCCACGCTGGACTCCTCTGAAGGTTGGTGGCTATCGATTGAGCATTTGGTATATGGTAAGAGCTGTGCTTTGTGTCTCAACGGGTCCTGTCTCATTAATAAAATGGCCAGCATTGGCTTAGATCTCTCTTTTTTTTTTTTTTTTGAGACAGAGTCTCGCTTTGTTGCCCAGGCTACAGCGAGTGCCGTGGCGTCAGCCTAGCTCACAGCAACCTCAATCTCCTGGCTCAAGCAATCCTCCTGCCTCAGCCTCCCGAGTAGCTGGGACTACAGGCATTCGCCACCATGCCCGGCTAATTTTTTCTATATGTATTAGTTGGCCAATTAATTTATTTCTATTTATAGTAGAGATGAGGTCTCGCTCTTGCTCAGGCTGGTTTCGAACTCCTGACCTCAAGCAATCCGCCCGCCTTGGCCTCCCAGAGTGCTAGGATTACAGGTGTGAGCCACCGCGCCCGGCCGGCTTAGATCTCTGGTGGCTGAAAGTTCACTGCTATACAAGATAGTCCGTTTCTACTAAGAGGTAGCAGAGGAGACTGGTTAAGGGTATGAACTAACCGTGTTTGAATCCCAGATCTGCAGCTTACAAGCTGTGTGATCTTGGTTGAATTACTTTAATTCTCTCTGTTCCATTTTCTTTATCTACAAAATGGGGATACTATGAATAATAGTCCCTACCACACATGGTTTTATGAGGAGTACGTGAGTGAATATTTATAAAGCTCCTTGGAGAATGTCTACTGTGTGTAAACCTATATAAGAGTGTGATCAAAAAAGTTCCACTCTTATAATGACTCAGTGATAGAAAGTTCTTTTACCTATTGATCTAAAATCCATATTTTCTACTCACTGGAGGCAAGCAAGGGCTCTGGGTTTGGAAAGTCTCATGTTTTTTGCCCATTTCCTAGCCATGCTGTGCTGAGAAGTTGCTTTCGTTCTCTGAGTCTTTATTTCCTCATCTGTAAAATGGGTATGCTCATCACAGTCCTGCTTAGTATCCAGAAAGTTGTCTTGAACCCAGTAATGATGGATCTTCTCTGGGCCAGATTTATGCTGGCTAGGACTTTTGTGTCAGCCAGCATCCCGACGTGTCACATCACGAGGACCAGGGCCACTGCCAAGAGGCCTGGAACCTTTGGACCCATCCCAGCACAGCCGGGATGATCTTTCCAAAGTGCAAACTTGACGGCATCTCTCCCAGCTCTAAATTGCTCTTCCTGAGTTTTTCCCTCCATCTCCTCCTGCTTCAACCCCTCATTCCCTGCTCTCCACGCTTCGTCCCGACCCTCTGGCACTTGCTCCGCTTCCCTGTTCTGGGGAGAGCGGTACTTCTCAGCCGGAGGTGATATTGCCCCCCGGGGGACATTTGGAATTGTCTAGAAACATTTTTGGGTTGTCATGACTTGGGGAGGAAGTGCTGCTAGTGTCTAGCAGGGGGAGGCAGGGCTGCTGCTACGTATGTCACAATGCACGGGACAGCTTCCCGCGACAAAGAGCTACGGGGCCCACCCGAAACGTCCATCGTGCCAAACTCGGGGAGAAACTCGGGGCTAGATTCTGGACCTTTCCAGGGACTCCCTCCCACCACCTATCCGCCCACCTGTGCCTACCTGCATCCGTCAGGATAGACGAGGTTACAGGCTCCATGTCCAGTGCCGCCTGGGCGGGGGACTCGGATCCACAGCGTCCTCGCTCTGGGGCCGGGCCGAGGGAGCAGGCCACTTCGGAATGACGCAGGTTGCAGTGGGGGAGGAGAGAGCGTGTGAGATTGCGCACTGGCCTTGCTTTTGCTCACGGCTTGCTGGCCAATTCAAGTCACGTGGCCACATCTAACCTGGAACAGGGTGGAGACGTGCGATCCCACCAGGGACCTGGCAGGAGAGAAACAGGCGTTTGTGAGCAGCCCTGATGATCACCCACACCCAGTCCAGTCTCATCCTCAAAGACTCGCTTCGGCTGCCCGGAAACGCACCCCGATCACGCCCGCCTTTGCTTGGGGTTCCCGCCCAGGCTCACCCATCATGACATGCGGCTCTGCGGCTACCATGTCCAGTGGGCGGTGGGATTCTCGTTCATGACGATGACTCCTAATCCAGTGCTCAGTGGGAAGCGGAGCCCAGGAACGGCTTTCTGAGTTAAGGAACAACTGATCAATGAATTCCCATCCTGAAGGAGAAATTGAGGGAGAGGAGGACTCTGAGCAAATGTTGCCTGCCGTGTGTCTGGCCCAAGAAGCTGATGTCATTGGGCCTCTGTCCCCACCTTGACCAGACCTGCAGGGACATCAGGATTCTGGGATTGATGCAGCCCATGGTCTTCTCCCCTGGACCTACCCGGTCCTGCCTCCTCATCTCAGCGTTGCCCAAGTTCCGAGCTGTCCTCCTGCTCTGGTGGCCGTGCCACCCATTGTTCTGCACCGGACCCGTCCTCCCCACCCCTCTCCCTGGAGAACTGCTTTCTAAGGCAACAGTTCCCAACTTCAGTCACATGCAGACCGCACCAGTTTCAGACGTGTCCCTGTCCCACTCCCCCTGTTATCTAATCAATAGTCTCTTTTAACTCAACTCATATTTTTACCCAAACAAATTTATTTACAAACAAATTCACACAAGTCCCGATAGACAGATAATAGATAGACAAATAGATGATAGATAAATTATATCTATCATAATATTGGCAAGAATATTAATTATTATTATACCGGCAATAATAATACTGGCAATAATAATCCTGTTTATTTATAATATTCATTTGTGCAATATATAATTAATTTATATATAATTAATTATACTTATGTATAATTAATTATATTTTAATATATAATTAATTGATATAATTAATTATATATAATTAATATATTAATATATAATTAATAAATGCACTAACATATAGGAGATAGAGAGACAGAGAGAGAATCATTGGTCCTTTTGGAGGATTCTAGAGAACCACCTTAATATTTTGCAAACTGGTAAACCAAGCCTTTATCCTGCCCTTCTTATATGACCTGTACCTCAGAGTATCTGATGATTGGTGAAGGAAAGTTTTTGCCTTTGTAGCCAGCAGTGACATGAAATGCAGAGGGAGTGTCAGAGTTGGGCCATCACTGTTCTGCACCCCCTAATGACATGGTGGACTTAGGCCGTGATCCTCAGTGACTAGTGACGCCACGTAAAGAGAGACGATGAACATTATCTGCCTCCCACTGGCGGAACGCAACGCTAGCTACTTAATAACCTTGCAAAAACGTGTTAAACCTGAATCTGATCAAGCCTCTAGACCTGACTACCAAAGTGCAGGGTATACGGGGGACAGAGGGGATGTTAAATGACCCACAGGACACAATCAGTAAATCCAGATTGTGGGAGACTACAAAACAGATGACCTGGCTTCTTCAATACAACCCTCCCCCAAGCAATTGCAATTTAAAAGAGAGAGAGCAAGAAAAGTGAGAGAAAGAGAGAGATTGAAACAAGATTAACCTCAACGTTAAAAGAGACTTGTGTAACATAGAAAATTGCAAGGTGTGGGCCTCGTTTGGATCCCAACTCAAATTAATTTGCTCAATGTGAACACTTTATTGGGTATGAGATGGTGTTTGTAGTAATTGTTACTCTTTTAGATATGATAATGGTATTCTGGTTTGGCTTGTACAAGTCCTTATGTGTTAGGGATATACACCAAAATGCTTTCAGATGAAATGGTATGAAATCCTGTGTGTGATTTGAAGTATCCGGGCATGGGGAGACGACAATAAGTAGGGAAAGGGGAAACAATGGCCTAGGGGCCATGGTCTTGAAGCTGCCTATGTCAGATTCATTCCATGATTTCCTCCATTTTTGAAAATGCTTGACATTCTACATAATAAAATTTTTTGAAAAACCAGGATGCTGGCCTAGGAAGATGAGCAGGGTCAGTGACAAGGAGAGAAGTCAGGGAAGACCCACAGTGGATGTGACATTCGAATCCGAATGACAAAAAGGAGCCCGCCTTGCAGGGACGTGGGGGGAGCATTCCAGGCAGGGGTGGGGGGGAACAGCAAGAACGCAGTCGGGGAGATCACTTGCCTCTGTCTAAGAAATAACCTTGAAAAGCCGTCAAATTAGCAACTGAAAATACTGCTGCTTTGAAAATGATGCTAATTTTCAGCAGGAATTCTTGTCTCCAAACGGAGACGTGTGTACCGCCCTTATGCTTAGGATTAAAATTTCAAGTGTTTCTAAGATTTTGATTAAAATTAGTTTAATTAAAAAAATGTTAATTGCCTTATTGTTTTCACCGCTTGCCTTCCGATCCCACCGCTGGGACCAACTCCAGCACCTGCTAGAGTTCCACAAGCTGCCAGTTCAAACAGCCACATGTCAGTAAATAAAAGGAAAATAAAGTTTGGCTTTTTTTTTTTTTTTTTATATTTGTGAAATACTGCGCCAATGCATGTAGTGTAAAATAGCCCAGTGTGGTCCCAGCTGAATAGTAAGAGGGTGATTTATTCCCAAGGTTCTGTTTCCATTTTTGCTGGTTATGGTAGCATATCAGCTGAGCTTTTTGATTGAATTACCACCTTGTATTCAGTCTGGGACCATGCATTATTACATATGTAAGTATAAATGTCGATGCAAATGAGTTTTCCTAATGAAAGGAGAGGCAGTTTATTTTCCCCTGCATAATGGGTAGTTCTGAGGAGCAGATTTATTCTCTCAAAGTGAGTACACGCTTATTTTTCAATTTGTCATCCATTCTTAGCATGAGCCCCCCAATAATTCAGACCTGCAAATCTTTTAGCTTTCATATTTTAATGTAGTGTTTTTTTTCATTTTTAAACTGAAATCAATTTCGATGTGATTTATCATCAGAGAATTACCTTATATAATAAAATGCTTAAGTGAATGAAGTAATAACTTAGGCCTATCGGTGAGAGAGAGCAATCTTCGGTTTTTCAGTCCCAAATAAACGGTGAGATCCCGGGTCATGCTTTCATCTCATTCATTACACTGTATGCTTTAGTCATTACTCGGTTTTGGAGTGT